GCAAGTTCTATATCTTTATCTATGCAATTCTTACACATCCCTATATATCAAGTCATAAAATAAAACACTAAAAGTAATCAATAATTTAGTTTGGTTAATATACTTGAGTCAAAGCTGCAGAGGATGTCTCTATCAAATTTAATACTTAGCTAATTATGTCTCAGTTTTTTTATGCGGGTCCAATACTCATTTTCAAGAGTTGATCTCCTATTTTTATTTATTAGGCGAAGATTTGAGAATGGCTCCCATGTGGTATCATCGTGCCCAACCCACTTGATTAGATATTTGTGCTTACCGGATCGCATTTTCTTGTGGTCTAAGATCTTCTCTGCTTCAAGGATATCCCCTGGATTAATTGTAGCATCACTTGTTTCAGATATAATCACTTTCAGGTCATTTGGGGCTTTGTATAGAGTATGTCCATTTTTCGAGCGAATTTGTACGCGGTAGCCATCAATCCCTACCACAGAATATACAGCCTTGCTCCAACGTGCAGCCTCCTTTTCGAACGTCTTCTTCTTGAGTCGATATAAAACATGTAAGCCAATACTGAACTCATTCTCAATCCTATCTGCCTCACCTTGATTATGGGTCAGATCTGCTTCCATCACTTGACCTTTAGCTTCATTTGGCGTCATTCCAATGGATCGATGAACAGTGCTGTTGTAGTTGCTAATAACATCGCTGATTAACTTATGGGTAATTCTCTTAAAATCCATCTTGATGAGTCTTTGCTTGATAGTTCTGTTGAACCTTTCGATTTTGCCCATAGTTCCATGATCACCTGGCTCGTTGTTGAAATGCTCAATTGTTTTGGTCTTAAAAAACTCTTCAGCTTGTGAATTTATAAACTCACTGCCGTTATCGCTCGTTATTATATCAACTTTGTGAAGTCGAACAAACGCCTTGAGAGCTGTTAAAACAGTAGGTGCAGTCTTATTCACCAATAACTTCGCATACCCGATGCGGGAGTTGATATTGATGCATGTCATAATCGGTTGTTTCCCCCAGAACGCAAGATCTATTTGCCATGAGTTGGGGTTGTGGGATGCAATCTTGAACCCATCAAAGCTTTTCTTCTGCTCTTGAAACCGTTGAATATCTGACTGAGTAGTATACCAATCCTTTACATCCTTCAATGTTATTTTTGAGTCTAGCTCTCGGGCCTTCTGATACAACGCTTGAGCTCCAACATAACCAGTTCTGGCGTTGTAATAGAGTTTGTGGAGGAGATCGTTGAGCTGTTCTCTCACCATTATTCTTATATAATATTCAAATAAAAAAGATGTGATATCTTGGAGAACCTTCTAAATTTCAAGTGGAATAGTGGTAATGCCATCATCGAGCACTTTCCGCTTGTCGTACCAATATGATAAAGCCGTCTTGGTCTGACTGTATGTGATAATTGATTTTGTCTCTTTCGACAGTCTAAACCCTTTGTTAGTACCTTGAAGTGTGATGCGATCGCGAACGACGGACTCAAACCCCAATGGATTAAGTACATCCTCATTTCGGCCACGGCTCTGCTGCACGCCCTTAGCCGAAACCTTAACCTTATATGACTCATCAGGAAGATAGCAAATATAGTTCTTACTTGAGAGTGAGACCATGGCATCACCAGACCACTCGTCCTTGAACAGACCAGGGGTACGACGATCAAACTTTGCCACTTCCATGTTATATTCACGTGGGAACCAATCGTACTTGTGCTGTGTGAAGTGATCCCGTAGCTCAGGTTTAATACAGTTCTGGAATGGATTATCACAGCTGAATGCAATGTAGGCCGAATCCGTATCCATTTCTTGGTACTGAAAGTCGGAGCGATCGAAATAGAAGTCAATGCAATCGTAGTAGAACTCGAGCATGCGTAGTTTAGCAAGCTGATAGATAGCAATTGATAGGTGGATTGGGTTTTTGTTGTTGAGACGACGCTTTTTCATGGTTATCTCACAAGAATCGTTCAGCTCCTCCAACCCATGAAATGTGAAGTGCTCAATACGCGACTTGATCTTATCCTCATTCGATTCATACTTGACCTGTTTGTGCTTACTCATGTCCATCCCCGATCGTCCAAAGGCACTGTTGCCTACTAATTTCATCATCTCTGCAATCATAGCTTTACTCTTATCTTCATCGCCGACGCGTCGTGCGCTCGACACAGCATCCATAAATGGAGCAAAAGCCTTGTGAGCGCTGGCCTTAATGAAGCTGTAAGTCTTAGTGATTTCCATTCCATGGGATAGATACCATTTGAGAAGAGGTGCGTAGATCAGAATCTTTTCACCGAAGTAGCTTCCAATCAGCTTGCGAGCAGGCTTAGCTTGGTTTTTTTCACGAGTATCGTTGTAGTCATACATGTGAGAGCCAATGATGTTTTTATCGGTGCAATCGATTAACGTATTCTTGAAAACAGGCGTCATTTCACCAAAGTAATCTTTAAGGTGATCTGGGGTACGGATGTCGCATTCAAGGAACCCAAATATTTTATCTGCCTTGATGTCTTCAACAATACCGGGATAAGCCTCAATGGTGGTCAATCGCCCGCATGGCATATCATTACCAAGAGCCCAGAGGTAAAGAGCATTGGCATCGTATCCGATGATCTTTTTCACAAGCTTACCACCTCGAATCTTAGTCTCGTTCCTTTTAGCGTAGCGGTTGAATATGATTGATGGACCACCGGCGATATTAGCCTTCATTTTACCGTAGATGTCCTTCTCCTCCCTGTCTATAGAATATACAAGCTTGTTCGAGTTGAACTCAAGGAGTTTCTTGAAACGAAACCCGCTGAGAGACATGTCCTTACGGGCGACGTTGCATTGAACACAAGAGATGAGGACATTACCGTCAATATGCCCCAATTTGTTATTGATACGGTCGGCCGATGCATTATCTGCTGTTAGCTGACAACAACATATACCACATAGGTACTTTTGCTTGTTTAGCAACATATCCAAATGATTAAACGTCATGTTGAAATCACGCTTAGCCTCCATATCCTGGCGTTTGTAGCCAATCATACGAGTAGCTGGGAATCTGAAAGGCTTAGCAGGTGCATTTTGAGGGCGTTGAAGCTCGTTGAAGCAAGTTTGATACATAACCTTTTCCGACAGCCCTGGAAGAGAAACACCATCAGTAAACATATCGAGATCAAAACGTTTGAACAGTTCACGCTGAGCCTCTATAGCCTTAATAAATGGTACCACATCTAAATTATTGTACCAGATAAGTAAGTCTTTGATAGAATTCATTCTATAGTGCTTCCACACGAACCTTACTCGCTCGTAGTCGGAGTTGCTTATACTGGTACCTCGAAGAGCACTATCGAATGCTGATTTGGAAGGGATCGTATTCTCTTTTAGAACATCAAAAGATTTGATGTACTCATATGGAAATAGTCCCTTCCCAAGCCCACAGACACACCTAATCTTATCATCGCACTTGCATCCACCGAGATATGTAGTAAGATACTTCTCATAGCTTGTTCCAGCAGGAACATAGTTGCTAATGTCAAGCATCTTCATGTCCGAAGTTGCGATGCACATATAGCTTGGATTCTTGATCACAGATTTGATATTTTCCGTACCGATAACGGCAAATAGGTCGCTCTTAATCAAGTTGATATCATATCTACCTGAGTTGAACCCCAACACGGGTACTTGATCGAGCTGTTGCTTGATCTTACCATAATCAGATCGCTCCTTCCCAAATACAATTGATTTATGGAAATTGAAGAAGCTACTATAAGTACCTTCCTTGATCCAGCTATCCACATCATCCACTGAGTACTTCTTGTCGGGATTTAGCCCAGGGATTTCCATACCACTAAACCCGTGAGCTTTGATAATCTTCTTGAGAAGTAGCTCATACTTTTGAACGTTGTACTCCTGAATCTTCAAGCTAATTTTGCTAATGTAATCAAACATATCTTTCAGTAAAGATTTTGGTTCAAAGTTTACAAAGCATTTAACTTGGCCCGAGAGGCTATCAGCCACTGACACCGAAACAGGAACGTGCTCATTCGTAAAGAGTGTGCTTTGACCATGCTG